ACGCCCTTAATTATGCAGAACTTTAAGGCTTAATTTAATTTAAACGGATGAATTATAAAAAAATTCACCCCTCTCACAGTTGTCATGAAGGGCAAAATTAGCTATATAGACCAAAACCACTTTTTGTACCAGGCTGTATAAACACATTTTTTTCTGCTGTAAAGTTGGACATTTTAACATGGGGAGTCTATGGGACTGACTCCCTTTTGGAGCCAGCCTCTAGCGGAATTGCAGTTTTAGTCCCTTCCGTGTTGGTTTCACGAGAGAGACGGGGAGGTTGCCGCTTGGGCTATACTCGTAATTTATTTAAGACTGTTAATATATAGATAATAATAACCCTGTTAAAAGTGGTGTATTTTACCTAATACATTTGTGTGCAACTTATTAGCATTGTGCATTGTTAGCTTAGCAATATGCTAATACCATTTAATCACAACAATCACATGGACTTTGACTGTATATATATATATACATACATACATACATACAATGTGAGATTTGTGCGTCATACTTTCAGTATGTAGTAAAAGTATGTGAACTGGGTTGCAGGCCTATGTCTCTTTGTGGACATAATAGTAAAAAATAAAAATAATAGTGAACACATCAGTATTTTGCAGATAAATCTAAAGGATGCCATTTCCCATCTAAAGCATTTTCATTTAAGCACTTAAGATGTTTGAAAATGTTAGCTCAGTTTCAAAATGATTTTCTGTTCCATTTCATGATGTTATATCTGACTGTTACTAGTTTTCAGTCAAGTCATAGCATGGGACTAAAATGTATTTCTTTGGTTTGACCATTACTCAAGATCTATATTTGCCCCAATCAATAGCCTAAGCCCTGCCGAGATAATGCCACCAGCCTATTCCAGCTTTTGGTTTAGTGGAAGACCCTATGATAAGGTTTCTTGAGAGACCTTGAGTCGCTTTTCAATTGACAGATTGTGTTCAGAAACACAATTAGAGATGAGCCACGAGTTTCAGATTTTCTGATTGCACACTTACATCACCAAGAGTTTATCCGATGCGTGTGAATTTTTGTGATTTTTTTTTTTGTTCATCTGCAGTGTCACTTCAACATGTTAGCTCTGTTTATACGTTTTAAAATGTATCCAAATTCATTCTTGTTTGCACACAAATCTGAAATATTTTATAAAATAGAATGTGATGAACATGAAGTACTTTTTATTTTTTTCATTATTTATGCATCATTTACGCATTTGGCAGACACTTTTTGCCCTAAGCATTTTCTAAATGAGTTCATGCATTCCCATTTTTGTTTATTTATTTCATTTTTCATCTGCAGTCTGCACAGATTTCATGTAAATTGCCACATTCATTTCAATGCACCAATGCACCATTTTACAAAAAGAGCCAAACAAAGCAGAATTATTTTCTATTGTAAATCATTTGTAAAACCATTCTTACATAAATTGCTGTATTCAGTTTAGTGTGACGTTTTACATGAATATTGGACCATTCCAAAAACAAATGTCTGTGCAAATTGTTCAGAAAACCACTTCTTACCTAAATTGCGATGTGATGAAACCATTCTTACCTAAAATTGCAATCATTTTGGATAAATGTTTTTAACAATGATTTTGCTCTTTCTTTTCACAAATGGTTTACGCAAAATTGTTATTTATACATCATTTATAGATCTGGCAGAGACTATTGTGTGCAGCATTTTTTTTTAAATGGGTTAATGCATTCCCTGGGAATCAAGCCCATGATTTTGATAGTTTTATAGACATCTCAGTGACATATGTGCGTTTACTTTTTGTGTGCAATTAGATGTCGGAGTTTCAGAAATTCAGTATTATTAGGACTGTTCACTAAGCCAAATCGTCATTATTACTTTTGCTCATACTCTAAGATTTAAACAGGCTTCTAAGACTAAGTTTTAAACTTAACACGTCCCACACTGTTTGTGTGAAAATAAATGCACGGACATGCATTGAAGAAGAATGTCATCGAGACCTGTTGTTGGACTCTTCCGACTCAAGCCAGTGAGCAACCGCTTTGAAACGGCATAGCAATGCTCATGCAATCATCCATAACCTCCTAGCACCATGGCAGAGAGTTTTGCATGGACAGTAGCACTCACTCATTTTCTTAGAAAAACTTTCAGAGACAAATTAAAGTGGTTGTGACCTTTTCTAGAGACAATGGCAGGTGGAAAGTAGCTCAAAGTAGAAGGATTTCTCGTTAACCTTTCAGTGATATTTTTTACTTCCGGTGAAGGTTGCTCTGCTCTTTGAATTCCCTCAGCTGAACACTGCTTATCTCAACAGAATTCCTGCTCAAAACGGAGCACTTAAAGTGATACAAGAACAGTTGCATATGTGCTTCCTGTAAAGTTTCAGATCTTTTTTTAAGATTCCACACATGTCTTCCTGCAGCTCTGTGCGGAGGCGATGTCCGAGGCCCAGAGGGCATCATCCTTTCTCCTGGCTTTCCAGAGCTCTATCCCAACTCATTAAACTGCACGTGGACTCTGGAGGTCAGCCATGGCAAAGGTACGTACACAGGAGATTTCTTCTTGTGCTGTCAGTAGAAGATGAAGGCTCGCTTTTGACATCAGATCTGCCACACATTCAAGTGTGGATGTTTATTTACTGAACACCAGAAAACTAGCCAAAAACTGTACTCAAGTAAAAGTACTTATAGAAAGAATTACTCAAGTAAATGTAATAAATCTAGTAGTTACTTGAGTAAGAGTAAAAAAGTATCCAATGAAAAAACTACTTTCTTAAATTTCCCGGTGCAAATGAGAAACGGCTTCAGATGTTTCACTGCTTGCAGGTAACTAAACAAATCATTCAAACTGATTTGTGAACCAATTCAGATTGTTTTGCGACTTGCTTGATGAAGGCCTTGAACAGAATCACTCAAAAGAGTGATTCATTCACGAATGAGGCATCGCTCATGCCCCAGAAAAAAAGAGACAGCGTGCTTGGAATAAACTATGCGTTTCTTTACATGTATTGCATTAAAATTAAGTAATGAGAAGAACGTTGCAGTGTAGCAAAGTTTTTTGGGTTGAAATGTACTCAAGATAAAGTACCCACTTTTAAATCTATTCTTAAAAGTACAAATTTTCCAAAAATATACTCAAATAAATGTAAAGGAGTAGGTGTATTTTGTTACTACCCACCTCTGTTGAACAGTGTGTGTGTGTGTGTGTGCACCGAACAAATACAGCATTGTTTTAATCACTATGTGTGAAACTTGATGTAAAACTTCTAGTTTTATATGCTCATTTTAATGAATCGATATTGATTCTTAAATACCAAGATTGATCTTTTAGTCTGCTGTTTCAGCTGATGCAAGAGTACAACTTCACTAGACATTATAGAGCGTGCCTCCCATCCAATAATCACAATAAACTTTGTTTTTTTTTAAACTTTTGATAAGAAAGTTTTTTTTGAAGATTTGAAGAAAGGAATTTGAAGATCTTTCAAATTCTGTCTAGACGCATCAGTTCAAATAGCAGCGGAGCGCCAGTGTATACAATCATCTCTTCCTCTTTACTACTAGTTTCTCAGTGTTTCAACTATGGAAAGACGTCAGTAAAACAGCTTGTGAACAATGTCATGTAGCATTACATTGACCTCAGGCCAGCAATTCAGAAAAGCATTTCACCAAATATATGCACTGTATTAGCCTATATATTAATTATATTTTACATTACTTGTTCGTAATGTCTTAATTATTTAATGCATGTTTAAATGAATCTGGCACGAAAACAGGTTATGACAGCATTTTTTTTTTTATTTGAGTGGTAATTATTACATTTAAAAATAAATAGCGATTTAATAGTTTGCACTTTGCTGTTAATTGTTACCTTTAATATTATAGTAATAAAAGGGCTCCCTAGTTTACAGCATTAGATGAGATGGATACCTTTATCCTTTATTTATTTGAAGACACAGCCATAATTTCTCCACTTAACACCTTGTTTCCTTAGATTCCAAGTCTTTTTTTTTTTTTACATGATGTAGAAGTAAATAATTGGTGTCCTCATCTGATGCCTCCTCTTCTCAGGTGTGCAGTTCACGTTTCATGCGTTTCACCTGGAGGATCACCATGACTACCTGCTCCTGACGGAGAACGGCAGTTTTACGCGGCCCCTCGCCCGGCTCACCGGTTCGCAACGACCCCCGCCAGTCAACGCCGGGCTGTACGGCAACTTCAAGGCTCAACTTCGCTTAATCTCAGACTTTTCCATCTCCTTCCAGGGCTTCAACATCTCTTTCTCAGGTGAAAGAAACAGTGCATACCATTTGAATTTATGGTTCATCCATCCATCCATTCATTTATATATTTTCAATTACCGTATTGTCCCGAATATAAGATGTCTTATAATCAGGGTCGTCTTATATTCGGGCCAATACGGTAGTTTCATTTGCACCAAACCCCACCCCCCTTTTTTTGCAATGAATAACTAAATTATAAGAAATAGTTAATCTGAAATGAAAATTATGCAATTTTTGTGCATCCCAATGTTATTTTGTTCAAAGAAAAATGTGACCCTGGACCAGAAAGCCAGTCTTAAGTTGCAGGGGTATATTTGTATTAATAGGCAAAAATATATAGTATGGGTCAAAATTATTGATTTTTCTTTTATATGTTCCATGATATTTTGTAAATTTCCTACTATAAATATATCAAAACTTAATTTTTGATTAGTAATATGCATTGCTAAGAACTTCATTTGGACAACCTTAAAGGCGATTTTCTCAATATTTAGATTTTTTTGCACCCTCAGATTCCAGATTTTCACATAATTGTATCTCGGCCAAATATTGTCCTATCCTAACAAACCATACATTAAATAATGTCAATAAATAGACCCTTATGACTGGTTTTGTGGTCCAGGGCCACAAATGTGAAGAACTTTTACACAGCTCTTTTCCATTTCACTAAGCACCAAAAAAGGACAAAAATCATCAACAGAGCAGAACTTTTTATGACTCAACTATTCCTTTAAGGTCAGCGTAATGCATTGTTAGAGCGCACACCATTTTGATGAAAAGAATCTGCAATACACACAATTTTATGTAAATTGTTGCATTCAATTTGATGCAACAGTTTACGAACAGAGCCAGCTATTCTGAGCAAAGCAAATTGAATTTTTCTGCTATAAATTGACGTAATCAGTAAATTGACGTAATCAGTTCAGTGTGGCAAATTACATAAACATAGATCCTCACACTTTTCTGTGCAGATTGTTTGTAAAACCATTTGTACCTAAATTGTGAAATGATAAACCCTTTTACACTTGAAAATTTGTTAACGGTGCAATAATTTACATAAGGATGATTTTTTTTCTTTAATGAGTGATAGCCGTTACCATCCTTTAGTAGAAGATATAATAATGAATCTTAATCTGAGGATAATATCGAAGGTTATTCTAGGACAAGAGCAGTCGCTGTCGTCATCAGTGCCTACAAGCCTGTTTCTATGAAAAGTCATAGCAGCAATTAGATATAGATGGTGCTCTGTACATTGATAAAGGTAATCAATTGGCAACAGCTTGAGCTTCGTCTCAGTGGCTTATTGAAAGTCTGAGACTTATCAGTGTAGCCGGCAGTCTTCTTGTCAGAGTTTAGCGGTGAACTGCTGGCTGATATTAGAGCTGGCTTTGGGCTGCGTTTTTCATTAGTCACAGATCCCCACTGGATCATCCTGCTGCGCTGCACGGTCACCGCGGATACCTACTGGGCACTGGGTTAAACTGGGCTGCCAGTTAGTTGATCCACCTTTTGACGTAAAAGTGGAAAAGAAACCTATCTGACAGCTAAATATGAGCTCATAGTCGAGAAACCGCCAGGAAGCCAACCGTATTTTAAAGCAGTTGCACCAAATACCCATTCATGACTGGTTACAGTAACTTTTGCTAACACTTTACTTAAAGCCTTTATATATAATGCATTATAAAAGTAGATTTAGTAGTAGTTTTAATGTGTAAATTATGCCTTGTAATGCACCTTATAATGCATTCAATAATCTCATGAATAATTAGAACCACAGTTGTAATACTTATCTATTCATTGTTACCAGAGGCGGTCAACATACTCAACTCCATTACTTGAGTGAAAGTACAGATACTGCTGGTCAAATATACTGCCGGAGCCCGGGAAGTCACCTGTAGGAGAAAAAAAAAACTATCTGTGGCGACGGTTTTGCAATCCGTCCCCTCAGTTTATAAACCGTACTCACAAATTCTTAAACTGTTCCCTCGGTTTAACAAATCGTGCCCATGGATTAATAAACCGTACCCACGAATTTCCAATCCGTGCGCTCAGATTTTGTAATCTCCGTAGATTACTGATAAAATGTCTGAAAAAAAAGAAAGTCATGTTTTAGAGAAGAAAAAAATCACCCACTGACTTTCAAAGCTGCTACATAGTAACGACTTTCTACTTTGAGGATCTTGATAGAAATGTAGTGGAGTGAAAAGTACAATATTTGTCTTTCAAATGTAGTGAAGTTAAAGTCATAAGTTCCCAGAAAAAATAATACTCAAGTAAAGTACAGATACACAAAAAGTGTACTTAAGTACAATACTCAAGTAAATGTACTTAGTTACTGTCCGGCTCTGATTGTTACACATTTAGAAAGTATAATGCATTAAAACACATGGCTTAAAAAACGTCAAATATTATAATGCATTTTACCTTTGGTTAGAATTATTTATGAAATTATGTAATACATTACAAAGTACTTTATGAATATGTTTATAATGCATTACACATAAAGACTTTAAGTAAATGGTTAACTAACTTTTTTGTTTTTAACAACAATAACAGACTTTAAAGGAATAGTTCATCCAAAAACAAAAATTGTTCTTTTTTATTTCTTCCCATGTCATTACAATCCCATATGTGTGTGTGTGTGTGTTTTTCCCAGGAATATTGTAAAGAATTTTTACACAGCTAATTTTCCATTCAACTAATCTCCAAGCTCTTTTGTGTTAGAGACAGGGTTATTATCATTACCTAAAACTATATTTAAGGGGGAAAAAACTTAATTTCAAATAAGCGATAGCTGAAATATTTTTTTATTTAAATTCAAATTTTAATTCACAAAATGTTCTCATTTTTGCTTTGTTTAACTTGAAGTACTAACATAATTAAAACTAAATAACCTACAATAAAGTTTGAAAAATAAAAACTACAGGATGTAGATAAAAAAAAAAAAATACAATAAAGTACAAAAACACATAACTAAATTACTATACATAAAAAATTGTGTGTGTTTAAATGAAAGTGCATACAAAAAATATGCAAATAAAATCTCATTTAAAATATTACCAAAACTATAACAGTATATGATACTACAATAACAGTGGTTACAGGAAAAAACAGCCTTCCATTTGGACAGCTTTTTCATTTTTGGCTGAACTATTTCTTTTAGGTCAGCGTGATACATTGTTAGAGGACATGCCGTTCTGATAGAAAGCCAAGTTGTGAGAAGAGCCGATAGGATTTGGCTCATGTTTACTGAGCCATCATATACATTAATTAAGGACTTGAGTTATGAATACCCATACAATTATCCAGAAGCCAAGTTCCTGTATTAGCCTAATATATATTCCCCAATGAAAACTGCGGTTGACCTTTTCCTGGTACTGAATATTGATGGGATTGACACAAGCAGACATGCATAATGCGAAAAATATCAGGCATGAAACTGCAGACAAAAGCTTTCCACCATTAACATTCCAGCATTAATGTTAAAAAGTTCAAGGACGAGAACTGATATCTTTACATAATATGAAATCTATTCAATTTTCTATACAGCACAGAGTGACAAGGTGGAAGCTTTCATATGCTGAACACATTGTGTTTCTAAATAGATTTGAAAATTTGATATTAGAGCTCAGAGGAAGCAAAAGTGACAAACAAGCAATTCACGTCATTGCCAGCGACCATCAAACATCTGAACTCATTGCTCCTCTGCACCGAGCGCCAGGATCTAATTGAAACCGCAGCTGCGGTCGTGCGCTAACCGTTTCTGCATATCATTTACATATGTGGAAATGATTCACACTGTTTCTATCATAGCTCTAATTGATTGTTTGAGTGTTTGCAGATAACCCAGGGTAAATGTTCGCTCTCTGTTTACTCTGTGAATCATGATGTGATGTTAAACTAGACATTGGTTGAATATTAAAACTGAAGTGCCATGCTAAAATAAAGCAAAAAGAAGACCTGGGTGTCTTTTATCAGAAATAAATTAGAAAATATTTTAATAACAATTATTGTGACTGTAACTATAATTCTTCTGCCAAATACTTGACAATAGTTGAAATATTTGCATAATCTACAGTAACTGTTTTTTTTTAATGTAACTGTTTTTATCAGTACTTTTTGGACATTTAATAGCAATTTCGAGTTTTTCAGCATTTAAGCTGCTTACTGTTTGGAGCATCTACAATGCATCAGTGATTCTTAAAGTAATAGTTCATCCAATAATGAAAATTTGCTGAACATTTACGCAGGTCATCCAAGATGTAGATGAGTTTGTTTGTTTATCAGAACAGATTTGGAGAAATGTAGCATTACATCACTTGCTCACCAATGAATCCTCTGCAGTGAATGGGTGCCGTCAGAATGAGAGTCCAAACAGCTGATCATCACAATATGATTTTATAAAAATCATCACAATAATTATAAAAAATAAAAACACTGAGCAACTAGTAGTAAAGAGGAAGAGATGATTGTATACACTGGCGCTCCGCTGCTGTTTGAAGTGATGCGTCTAGACAGAATTTGAAAGATGCGACTGTTTCTTATCAAAAGTAAAAAAAAAAAAAAAGTTTATTGTGATTATTGGATGGGAGGCACGCTCTATAATGTCTAGGGAAGTTGTACTCTTGCATCAGCTGAAATAGCAGACTAAAATATCAATCTTGGTATTTAAGAATCAATATCGATTAATTAAAATTAGCATATAAAATCATGCTCTGATACAAAAATCATCACAATAATCCACAAGTAGTCCACACCACTCCAGTCCATCAGTTAACATCTTGAGAAGCGAAAAAGCTGTGTGTTTGCAAGAAACAAGTCCATCATTAAGAGGTTTTGACTTTAAACTGTCACTTCTGACTAAAATATATATAATCCATAGTCCATAATCCATGATAACACTTCCTCCAGTGAAAAAGTCAATCATCTGTTGTCCTCTCACATCAAAATCCAACAGCATATTTGTTTAGAACAGGTTTGGACTGGTTTTGCTTGTAAACCTTACTTGATGTGTGCAGATTTCTCTCCTGATTGAGACGAGACACCTTTTTCACTGGAGAAAGCAATATTATGGATAGAGGACTCTCCATAAAGAAAAAGTCTTAATGATAGATTTGTTCATTACAAACACATACATTTTCAATCCACAAGACACTAATGGACTGGAATTGTGTGGATTATTGTATATTATATATTTATCAGCTGTTTGGACTCCCATTCTGACGGCACCCATTCACCGCAGAGGATCCATTGATGAACGTGCTGTAATGCTAGATTTCTCCAAATCTGTTCCAATGAAGAAACAAACTCATCTACATCTTGGATGGCCTGAGGATGTGTAAATTTTCTCTGCATGTTCATTTCTGGGTGAACTATTCCTTAAATTGCTGCCTACGTCATCAGCTCACTAGGTTTCAGAATTAATTCCTTTAGTTATTCCTTTAGTTTTTACAGTTTACATGAATTGTTTGTCACATCCTGCAAGCTGTATTACAGTAAGTTTTAGCATACAATAAGGTTCAACCTGTATAGCATAATGCACCAGCAAATTAGGTCATCTAGGAAAGTTTCTGGCTAAACTTTTTGCCTGTTTGTTTCGCTCAGAATATGATTTGGAGCCATGTGAGGACCCAGGTGTGCCCCAGTTTGGCAGGCACAGCGGTGGCAGATTTGGCATCGGCGACACCCTGACGTTCTCCTGTGACCTTGGTTACCGTCTGCAGGGCGCTCGAGAAATCACTTGCCTGGGCGGTGGGCGGCGCATATGGAGTGCACCTCTGCCAAGGTGTGTGGGTACGTGGTCAGCTGCTCTCATTCGCTTGGACGTCCAGAGTTTGACAAGTCTCCATGGTTGCATTCGAGCTCAACGACGATAGGCTATTGAGCTGTACTCTATGTTCTAAATGAAGTAGTAGTGTACTACTCAAAGCATGCTGCACAGTATACTGTATCCCACATATTATAGACCTAAAAACGAAATTTACTTAAAACAATTTTCACTCAAAATTGCTTGTCAATTTCACAAATAATGACAAGAAAATTGCAAAAGATGCATTAAATTAGATGTGAAATTCTGAAGTCTGAAGACTGCAATTGTATGTTCTAGTGAAATGTACTCCAAAAATCTTCAAAAAATATTTTTTCAATATACTTATAGTACTAATTAAATAGTACTTTGAAAAGCATGCCTTTTAAATGGTGTTATCCTAATTGTTATAGCATGCAAATAAGTGTCATGTTTAATTTAGTGATTTGCATCTAGTTTTGGAAGTAAATATGGTTATTTGGCATTTTTATAAAAGCAATTTTGAGACTTTTCTTAGACTGAAATAGTGTTTTCTTGTAAAATGTACTCCAATCTTTGTTTTATTTACAACTTTGAGAAATAATTTTTTAGAGTGTATTTATTTATACTATACAGTATACTACTTATTACTAAAATAGTGCTTCAGTAGTATACAGTATGTGTTGATTAACATTTTAAATGGTAATGGTATTATGAAATGCAAAACATGTTTCATGTTTAATTCATTGATTGGCATCTAGTTATTTATTGATGTTTTTAATCCAATTTGAGTACAATTTCTTATCCTTTGGCAGTGTAATCAAATGATGAGTCATAAAAGAGAAACTGTGGATGTTGAAAATGTAAGGTCAAGTTGAGCGCATTGCATTGATACAGTACTGACTCGAATGCAACTAATGAGTGAGCAAATGTTGTTCAATTATTATTATTATTTTTTTTAAATCTACTGCATGTTTTGATGATATGTTGTCTTTCTGGATACCTACATTTTTGCTTTTTCCTTTATTTCCCCAAATTTACACTTTTTCCGCATTTCTTTTCTACTATGTCACTACGGTTCCCCGTTGTCCGTAGCTGAGTGCGGCTCAACCGTTTCCAAGAACGCCGGTGTCCTGTTGTCCCCAAACTACCCCCGCAATTACGAGAACAACCACGAGTGCATCTACAACATTCAAGTACAAGCAGGAAAAGGAATCAACATCTCAGCTAGCACCTTTAATCTGGCTCAAGGCGATGTTCTCAAAGTAAATATTACGTATACACCCTTTGCCAGTTTGTACAAGTGTGCAACACACTTTCAATTGATTCTAAAAAGTACCAAAAACACTTAATTTAATTGAAAATGTACTGTTTTACGCAATATTCTTCTATTTGCAATGCATATTAATGCTTAAAACAGTGTATTGTTTGCTTAGCAACACATTAACGCAAACTCTGCGTTTTTTCTTGCATTTTATTTGGCCGTCTAACGTTTTTTGATGTTACTTGTTTTCCTGCTACTTGTTTAAGATGGTTCAGAGAACATTTGAAAGTAACATTCCCATAATGTTTGCAAAATGATGACATTGTAACATTGCCTTACATTCACATAACCAAGATAAAATATGGATTTCTGAGAACTTTCTGAGAACATTCAAAAATAACGTTTTCATAACATTACTAAAACGTTCTTAGAGCGTATTTCATTAGCTGAGAAACTCTATACTTTTCTGGTCTGTTTTCCCAGATGTATGATGGTCCAGACAACACTGCAGAAGTTCTGGGAGGTTTCTCGGGTTCTTCTTTGTTGGGTCAGTCATTGACCAGCACGTCAAATCACCTGTGGCTGGAGTTTTATTCTGATCAAGAGGATACCGCCGAGGGTTTTAAACTGGTTTACAACAGTAAGTTTTCTCTTACTCTTACTTTCTTCCACACTGCTTGTCGAAACTCACACACATTAGAGCTTCCAGTAGCCCTTTGCAAGCTACCTCCGTGGTGTTGCTTTTATTACCCAAAAGTGAAAATAAAATCAACCTGCGTTCATTAGGCACTTGCTGCAGACATCAATTGAGTTGAGTTCATTTGGGGTGTTAATATTCTTGTTAAGAGCTCAGAAACTCCTGAAACTAGTCGAGTGTCGCCCACAAGCTAACAGAAGCAATAATCGAGTGGGGCATGTAACATCAACAGCGTTTCACTAATATTTCAGACTTGATGAGCTTTGATGATAATTAAATTCAGTCCTACCAAGACTGCAAATGACTGTACTTTTATTAGTCCCATCTGGATTTCATGAAGTTGCAATTAAAAAGGCTTTTCTCGCACAATGCTTCGCCATAATTTACTGATAAATGAGAGTCCGCTGTGGGAATGTGTCTGAGTGCTGAACTCCTGCACCCTTGCAAAAGTTCCAGCGTTTTCACAGTCTTAAATATTTATTCAAAACTCTGGGTTTCATAAGATTTATATATATTTTTTTTTTTTCAAAGAAGTCTCTTATGCTCACTAAGGCTGCATTTATTTTTATCAAAAATACAGTAAAATAGTGATATTGTGAAATATTGTTTTTGTTTAGAATAATTGTTTTCAATTTGAATATATTTTAAAATGTAATTTATTCCTGTAATGGCAAAGCTGAATTTTCAACATCATTACTCCAGTCTTCAGTGTCACATGATCCTTCAGAAATCATTCTAACATGCCGATTTGCTGCTCAAGAACCATTTCTGATTATTATTAATGTTGAAATCAATTGTGCTGCTTCATATTTTTTATGGAAACCGTGATGCATTGATTTCAGGATCCTTTGATGAATATAAAGTTAGAAAGAACAGCATTTATTTGAAATGATTTTTTTTTTTACATTATAAATGTCTTTACTGTCAATTTAATCCGTCCTTGCTGAATAAAAGTATTAATTTCTTTCAAAATAAATCTTACCAACTCTAAAATTTTGAACAGTATTGTACACATTTAGGATGCTATCAGTGAATTGATATTGTACAAAAATGGTCAGAAATGAACATGCACTAAGTGTCTAACATCATTAAAAATGGGCTTTGGTAAGTAAATAAAATGTTACTGTTTGTTAATACAAGTGATTTACAAAACTGTAAGAAACTATTTTTAATAGGAACTGAAATTTAGGATGTTTTATCAGATTGTAAGAATGATAATCTGACCATTGTGGATGTAAATGACAGGAGCGAATCTAGATGTCATTGATTGTCACATTACACATTGATTGTCACAAAATATTTATTTGGAATAATAATGTTAAATACAATTTTATGGGCAGATGTAATAATTAGTTAATTTTGGGTGCTGTGTGTACATTTCTATGTAGGAATGCCTACAGATGTGAATGAGATTTCCCGCTCCCTCTCAATCTTTGTGTCATAAGCCACCTCTCACCTCACAGCGGAATATATTAGCTCAATTAATTTTCATTTCTGGATTAATATCTTCATTTCCTTGTCAGCCTGAACTGTATAATTGTTCCCAGCACTCGTTGCACCACACACACGGTTTGTTGCTTTTATAATGAAACCCTTTGAATTAGCGGCATTTTATGCATGGATTATTAGTGCCATTGAGAAAGCACAGAGACTCTTAATTTCCTTTGTTTGAAATTATCCAACGCATTTTATGGAGGACTGTTTCCTGATCTTGGGAGAGTAGCCTACAATGCTGTTCAGACTCACAGCCTGTAAGTACGTTTTCATATTTAAAGAATTTGCCACTGACTATTCAAACGCGAGTTTTGGGCAGTGTAGAGTAGCGCTTGTTGTTTGTCATTTCTCCGATCACAAATGCAGGCATGGTTTTATGTTTACGCGGCGCGATGCAACGCAACGCGTAAAAAGACAGTATAAGTCATTATAATCAGTAATTATGTCCCCACTGGATGCAACAAATGCATGGGTAATGGGTTTTCATGTTTTTGTGTTGTTGCTCCGGCCGGGACACGGCATCAACAGTATGTGAGGGGCGTAACATTTCCGTCTCACGCTTGAGGTATTCGGCCAATCACAACGCAATGGACCTTGTCAGCCTGAACTGTATAATTGTTCCCAGCACTCGTTGCACCACACACACGGTTTGTTGCTTTTATAATGAAACCCTTTGAATTAGCGGCATTTTATGCATGGATTATTAGTGCCATTGAGAAAGCACAGAGACTCTTAATTTCCTTTGTTTGAAATTATAGGTTTTTCTTTTCTCATGAGAAGTTTTCTAATGTGTCTACCACAGTTCACAGTGCCGTATTATTTGATATCTTAATCATAAAGCGTGCAAGGCTCTGCAGCAGGATTATAGCTGGTTGTAGCGTAACGGTAACGTCCCAGCGTGAGAAAAACATGATTGTGAATGAGGTTAAAGGGGTCATATGATGCGATTTCAAGTTTTCCTTTCTCTTTGGAGTGTTACAAGCTGTTCGTGCATAAAGAAGATCTGTAAAGTTGCAAAGACTAAAGTCTCAAATCCAAAGAGATATTCTTTATAAAAGTTAAGAGTCAACCACGCATACCTAAAACGGCTCGTTTAAACACGCCCCCACAT